AGATTATTGAAACTTCAAACTCTCCGTGAAGGGCTAATATCCTCATCGCAAAACACGGATCGATCATGGATCGATCATCCAAACTGAATCCCCATGTGGAAGTTGACAACATCAACTGCAATCCGCATTATACTTTGGTAAAACTTCCCAAAGGTAGAACAGAGAATGCCTGCATTCATCGTTTGGCTCTCCAGGGCGATCCACCAAAATCGATATCTGAACCCTCAGCACCGTCGGACTCTCCTTCCGACAGAATCCGATCGCTTACCAGAATCATCTAATACTGATGAATATTGCACCGCTTCGTCAATAACAGTCACTCAGCTTCTGAAACAACACAACAACAGGAAGCACTCCTGAAATCCCCGAAATAGAGAAGCGTCAAATAGACCTTATTGCTTGGGGATTTTCCCAATACGACCACTTAATCGAGGTGTTTTACTGTTTTACTGCCCTTGGTGGGTCATTTTCTGGCCGGGGTGAATGTCATTCTTTTTCTCATATTGGTACACTATTCTCTATTGCCTGTTTTATAGAGTTCTTATTTCCATTGCAGCTCATGTACTGCAATTACTGGTCCAGTAACGCGTATTGTTTCCACCACGAGCTTCCCTGGCACCGTGCAGTTTTGCTGGTGTGCCGGGCGTGGGCGGTGTTGGAGGCCCGGAAAAGATGGAGTGGGCCGCCGCGAAGGACACCCTGATCTCGGGTTTTGACATCCCGGCCGACCGCTAGCAGGCTTTGCGGAGCTTCAGGGCGGCGCAGATCAGAGTTGGCGTGAACCCCTTGTCGCATGCCGTGGCTCTACGCGCCCTGTTGAATCGAGCGCTCCCAACGCTGGATGATGCCGCATGTTCGGAACTACTGCTTGATCGTTTTATGGCGAGCGTGCCGAACGATTTGCGCGAGACGGCATGGATAATTAATGCCGAGAAGACTATGGATGTATTCAAACTGGCGGATGTCCTGAGGGAGTTCACTTGGAAGAAATTCATTCTTGGCCAGCCAACCGAAGGCTATAGACAACAACATACAGGAATTACGGCAGCTCCCAAGAAATTAAAGGAGTTGGCGGCCATCCGAACCGATTACGAACAGAGGGGTGGCAAGAAGGGGAAACGTGAGCACGAAGAGCCAGAGTGCGGGCGAAAAAATTGCTCCGAAACACTGCGCAAATGGTTCACAGCAGAACCCTTGATTTTGTTCAATTCGGTGTCCCCAGACAAGATCCCCTCCGAAACGGCTGATAGTTGTTCAGTTCGACCCACATGGAGATGGGGGATCTGTAAGTGCCAGGGTTGTTTGACACATGTGTTGCTGTGTATATGGCGGAGCCTCAGTCAACCGAGTCATTAGAAGCCTCGAATACAACAGAGAAGACAGTTGGCGAACACGGGCCGCAAGTTGACGGCGCGGCGAATCGAAATTTATCTATTGAGAACACGACAGACAATCAAAATTTTGCCAGATCGCAAAACAAAACCATAAGCAAGTTAAGAATGCCGTTGAAATGGAAGCCAAGCACACTTCGGAAAGTGCCGGAATCAGAGTGCACGCACCATGTCGGAGGTCGTATCGGTGACCCTGAAGCAGCAAAGTTGCTCCCTAGATGGCGAAGTTCATGCAGAATCTGGATAAAGAAGATCGCAGTGAACGTTTTTCAGGAAATAAGTGACGACAGGTATAAACC